GTAGCTTTACTCCACTGCGTATAGTCATTCTAATGCAACCATAGACATTGCTGCAGGATGAGGATTTGGAATTGTCGGTGTAAGAGCAGAAAGAATGTTTTTAATGGAGGAAATGTGATCTGTCTCTTGGGCATTAATAGTCTATATAGGTGGGACTACAACTAATGCATAACGGATTAACTTCCCTGATGGTTCAGAACTAGGCAAATTCTTACTGGGCCTGAGAGTTTATGTCTTAATTGCTTTCTTGAAGTAGTGAGCAGTAAAAGTCACCAGTACTACAGCAAACACTCCCCAGAAGTGTTGTTTTAATTCACTCTGGCAGTGTTCACGGTTCTTCTGTGTTTATTTCCCGAAAAAAAATCCAGCAATCAAGTTTTATTCACAGGAATGTTCAAAAAAAGTGAACAATAAGCTGTGCTTTTGAAAGTAATGGTACTAGAATTGGTACTTTTTTGTATGTGATTGGACAGTGATTGATGCAGTAGTGACACAGGAGCAGGATTACATGCACATGTCCCCGGTTCCTAGATTTATCTTGCCAGCCTGGTCTGCCCTTGCCAAGTGCACTATTCCTAAGAAATGTATACCACATGGAGTGTTTGTACTGTGCTACTTTGGGACTTTTAAGGAAGTACATGGCAAGCTCTTCCTCTGTTGGTTGAGAGGGGTCAGTAAATGTACTAAAGTTTTCCTCCTGACCGAGGGCTGACTGTGAAATGGACTGGGAAACCAAAAGAACAAGACTCGCTGTACAAGGGAAAGCACTAGTTTGCATAATGTTCACACACATGCATGTCGTATTTACATAATTACTATACATCGTATTCTTCATTTAGCTGCCAATTAAGACTCTCTGACACTCAAACCATAGTCATTATTGATTCCTTCTCATGCATACAATTGTACATAATGTGTGTCAACAGTTACTCCACACTACAAACTTTGACGTTAGCAAGGATGACCAGACTGTGCAGGCATTCCAGTGCTCAGTTTCAGTTCAAACAGTAAGTCATAAATAATAATCTGACAGCTATCAAATAGCCAGTTTAAAAACAGAAAGAAAAAGGTTCTCACTAATAATTACTATTAATCAAAAACATTTTTGTAACATTTAACTAAAGAGGCAGCTCAACATCCATGAATGTTTCATGGCTTTCAGTAAGACCTCAAGAATACTCCCTTATTAAAGAATATACTTAAAGTAATAGAATCCATTCATATATCCATCAGTTTTTATATATTAATAATGAGATATTTCATTGGAGTACCCTTAAACAATGGAAAGCTTATTTCAGGAAGCAAGGAAATATAAGTATGGATCACAGACCTGAATTAGTTATCTGGAAATAAGAAGTTGTTGTTACTACTCCATTTAGATTTCTTTGAAGTTAATTTCTGCACATAAATCAGACTCTATTCTTTATTAATTAGAACATTAATTATTATTATTAAGGATGAGTCTTTTTGCACCTGTCTCAGATTATGTAGCATACACTTGTTAAGATCATTCCAGCATCCCAGTGTTTCAGTGATGCTGCTTGCCTAGCAAAGCAGGTCCCCTAGCTGACAATATTTCTCTGCTGTTCGTAATGCAGAACCTTTGAGTATGCATAGAACCTTTGAGTTCTAGGCTTAAATAGAACCCAGTTTCCACTGGGTTCAGTGGAAACTGGAGGACAACATGTTAGAAATGTAGGCAAAAGCTGATACCCAGCAGCTTCAATTATTTTTGTAATTGAAGATAGATGAACGCCTCAGTTATTTCCAGCTGTTAACACCTTCCAGAGTAACAAGAGTTTCACTGTCTCTCTGTTAATAGTCACTACGCAGTTTTTAAACATTAGCATCTTGAATGACCTAAAACAAAGTACGGTAGAGGGAAGCTGGAAAAGATAAACACTAGCACAAGAGGAGGGAATGGAAGACCTTTTTGTAGGAGTGAGGAGAAGAAAGAAGAACCTAGAAGACATACAGAAACTTCAGCAGGGAAAAAAATGGGATGCTGAACTGGAATTCTAGGAAAAAAGCACAAAAGTGGGCTCTTGACAGGGGGTGGACACATAGAAGGCAGGAGATTTCAGGAAATCTTTAAATGGACAGGAATGGGAAACACTGGGACCTCAAGAGAAGATGCAAGGAGTCTCTGATGAATGCAATCCTTAGCCCGTATAGCAACTGCAAAGCAAGCGACAGAACCCTTTTGATGTTAGTAAGGATCCAAAAATTCAGATTTTATGGTCATAAGTATTGCGAACAAGTATCTATAAAGAGGATTGATAAAGGAAATTAAAAGATATATTTTACAAATTCTAAATAAATTTTATTTCTTTTCAAGTGAAGGAAAGGATAGTTGTGTTCTTTACTGGTAAATAATGAACAATTTTAAAAATATGACTTAAGTTTACCTTTCTAATCAACTGTACAAAGTGTGTAGTATAGGTATCAAACAAATCATTGTTTGCTTTGCTCTCTCTCTTGATTTTTACCATTGCTTTGTATATCAACTTATTCAGATAGGATCACATCCTGGAACGGGAATAAATCCAGGAGATGACAGCAAGCAGAAGGAATTTTTGTGAGGTTCTTTCTGAGAGCACTCCCCCACATCACTCTGTTAAGGTATGCAATCAATACTAAACTGTATATCATACTTCCAGCCTTTCCAGATGCTAGTTCGGCATTCTCCCTGGGGTTTGTGTGTCTGGCTAACTGAACAGGGAGAAAGAGAATGTCTCTGATGTGTGAACCTATGCAGCCTGGTCAAGGAACATAGTTAAAAGAAAACCTGCCTACACTAACATAGTATCTTAACTACAGCTAAATAAAGGGCTTTGAACTTGAGAGCGTCCATTAAAATTTTAAATATATATGAAAAATTTAAAAGAAACCTTACAAAATACTTTGAAAATTCCATTCCGTACTCTATGGGAGTTTTAATGGCTCTCGCCTTAGCAATGATCGAAGATAACTGTGTTCCAATGCTAATGTTTATATGCTTGTTACTGCAATATAAGAGCCTTTCGTAATCATTATTTGCATTAGCTTTTTGGATCAGGAACATATTATGCCATTTCTTCTGAGTGCACCTTTTTCCTAATACTGAACAGCAAGCATTTAGTTGTAAGAATCAGACTAAAATAACTGTTTTGACGCTTAAATGGATGGAGTTGTGCAGCTCTGAATGCTAATCAGCTGCAGGTAAAGAATGTTTCCTCTTGTGGGAGTTTGCTAAATGTGCCAGCTTGAGCTAAAAATAACCAGCTGACCTGCCCTCCTCACAATAACATTGTGGAACTTGTTTCTCCTTGCATGACTGAGGAGCGGGTGATAGAGTTTAGATCATTTTAAGGCAGAAAGAGGTTGTTTGGCTCATCTAGAAACTGACTTAATGCTAAAATAGTTATTTATGTATCGCATCTGGGAAAGCTGCTTTGTGAATTGGTACACGTAAGAGTCAATTCTGGAATTCTCCAATTGTTTTTTGTAACAAAACACCACTGCATTCTACGTGATTAGCATTCTCTTACGTTGCTATGATACGAAGATGCTAACTTTAAGTGAAATGGTGCCAGCAGGCTAATGGCCACCAGAGCAGCACAGAGGGCTTGACATTAGCTATCTCTTAGGAAGTCTACGGGAAAGTCTGTTTTGTTGCCTGTCAGAGGCCTCAGCAAAACTGCGAGGAAGCTTCCCTGTGCAAGATATAAAGCTGATTGTGATGAGAAGGAAGAGAAAAAGACTGTTCTCTAATCCTCACAAAAGTGCTGCAGAAAAGCAAAAGAACTGGGAAATACATAAGAAGGACATCAATAAGATTTTTAGATCTGAAGACATATATATAAGCTAGAATGGGCCAGTAATGGATTGACAAATAAAAAATTATATTTAAACTAGGAAGAAGTTTATCTGAAATGTCTGTGTTTCTCAAATGTTTACTCCACCTTCATTCTTTCATTACAGGATGACTTAGTTGCTATTTGAAAAAAGGGTCACCTTCTGTTTAGCCATTTCACTGCAGGGAATGCAGCTGCAGTTGCTTCTTGTTCTTAAATACCGTGGAGCTGGTATTTTGTGACTATAAAAAGGTGACTATACAAAAATACTGGCAACAGATTTGTTTTTAATTCTAATTTGCAGCTGGTCTGTGTAAGGTGAAAGTGTATTTCATTTAAAACCAGTTTCAAGAGTACAGATACAAGAATACAGTTTGTATTTATCACACTTTTAGGTTTCTATGTGAAATCTGATAAACTGGAAGTGAATATTTTGACACCACAAGTCAACAATATCAAGTGTAATACAATTTCTTTTCTTTAAAATGCTATGGGTTCCTGATTTTAGAAAGTAAAACATAGGGACCACAGAAAAATAGGGCTTTATAAACCTCAGGATGTTATCTAGCCCGTGCTCTTATTTCAGGATCAGCTGTTGAGAGAGGTTTTCCTTTGCTCTTGCTCTCAGAAACCTCCAAAGATCACACAATCTCCCATAACATCTGCTCTAGTACTGAGTAATACTTACCACTAGAATGGACTTGTCTAAATTAAACTTTCCTCTGATGCCTTGCAGAAAGGTCTAGACTTTCTGAGGTGACTTATCATAGTCTACAAGAGGGGCACTTACCTATGCCTAGCAGAAATAACTGTAACTCAGAGCCACTGCCTGATAACACAGCCTTCGCAGTGAGCTTCTAGGGACTGTCAGTGAACGCTGGGCACACCTTCAGCTCATGGAGCATCACCTCTACAGCTTACTTCCTCCAGATTGGCTGCACCCCATTTATATGCTAACTTTCTGTCTTAGTAGAGATAGAACATGCTTTAGTTTACTGGCTTCAACACTGCCCACCCACCATGTTTTATAACAACAGACAGGCCGATGCTAAGACAATGTAAATAACTATGTATCGATTTTTAAGAAACTGAGAGACCCAGGTTGTACTTTGAAGGACTTGAAATGAAAAATTGTATGTAAAATAAACATAAATCATAGCTAGCCTTAAACTTAAGAGTAAATACTACTCTCTATTTGTATTTTTCATCTGTGTATAGTTCTATATATGTCACCGATAATCCTTATTGCATATTCATTTGGAAGTCTGGATATGCATATTTCATTGCCTTCCTCGATTAACAGCGTCATCATCTAGATTCTGTCTTTCTCTTTACCATTCCATATATTCAAATACAGAATGGAGGCTCCTATTGGATCAACTCAGACTCTCAAATCAAATGCCTTAATACGTACTCTTAAAATACTCTTTGAGTTATTTAATTATCCACATATTAAATATAACAGAAAATATTAATTATAGATAAATCTAATTAAGCCTGTCATCACCAGTGTATTTGCTGTGTTGGAGAACAAACATGTCTTGTTTGGATCCTCTGTGATGAAGGTCATCAGAAATAGAGAATAGCTTTGTATAAGCATAATTCTGAAGACAAGCTCCTCTTTCCCCTGTTCTTCAGGTATATTCACATTCATATGAGCTCCCTCTGCTATAGTTTAAGGCCCAAACTTCTTATCCAGTCACCAATTCATTTCTTTCCTCTTTGCAATAGTCTTCTACATATTTGGACGCTTTTATCATGTTTCTCCAGCCTTGCGTAGCCTATCAATCTAATTATTTTTTCTTTTTTTTTATTGTAGGGTTACATTTTCTGCAACTCCACTTGCTCTCCTGTAGATTCTGTTTCTCCTCACTTTTTGAAGAGTAACACCCAGAACTAGATATAGAACTCTACTTGAAGAGTGCTCTCAAAGGATCATTTCACATGCCTTATGTATATGATAATGTATATAGAATTAAATAAGTCAGATAAATGAATGTGATAAGACTAGACAGTTAATGAACAAGTCGTCCACATAGCACTTGCAGGTTATTCTTCAAATTTTGGTTAGTAATATCACGCTATTTTCAGGTGAAAACATGGATTAAGATAAGCAAATAAGAGAAGTATAGTGCAATTTAAGTAGGGAGAAGCCTAAAGAGGTGATCTGATCCAAATCCTTGCTAAGGACACAGCTAATTTTTCTCATATATATTTTTTTTAATGAGGAAAAAACAAATGGTCTTATCAAAAGGATGTGCTAATATTGCACTGAGGAGTGATGATGCCTGTATAACAATTGCACAGATCTGCACTGTTGTCTGTCTTGTAATGCCTTATGCCAAATAAAAAAAAAAGCTCAGTTTTGAAAAAAAGCTATCAACATTTCTATAACATACGATGATGGACTGAGGGTCAAGAAACCTATGTTCTTGCCCATGTCTGCCACTGTTTGGCTGCTGACCTTGGACAGCTTTGTGTCCCTTCATCATGAAATTTGATATTTCTGATGTCCTATTTAGAACCTATAAAATCCAAAAGACAAGAAGAAGGTCTTTCATTATATATTTACCTCATATCGGATAAGTCGTGATGACTGAATCACAAAATAATTTAGGTTGCATGGGACATTGGATGTGATCTAGTCCAATTCCTGCTCAAAGCAGGCCCCATTAGATCTGGTGGCTTAGAGAATTGTAGCGTGTCTGTCCAGAACTTGTGGACCACTATTTCTGAACTCTTCTTACCTCTTTGGGGATTTTAGTAACTCTTAGACTTTTTTGGCTGTAAGGGACCATGAACTAATCAGTGTAGTTAAGAACCATATTCCCTAAATCAAATATCTTGAACAGAATAACTCCTGACTCTTCAAAAGTAAATCCTATGCAAACATAAATCTTCTTTCTTGTCCAGAATTTTGTTTGCTTCAGATAAAACCGTTAACCACAACTTTTGACTAAATATAACAGGTTTTCTTTGGTTTGAAATTTCTGTGTTTCTGTGTACTCTCTTTTGAAGACTGGGATTAAATAAAGTCACTGCCATACTTATTTCTAAACTAAATAGTTAAATGTCAATCCTGACCCCTTAGTAGTAAATTCCCTATACTCCTTAATCCATTCAGACTCAATAATGATTTTCTTTTGCCAAAGTTATTTGACATTTCTTAGAAGGAATTTGGTATGTAAATTTGTTCAACTGTGACCTCTCTGAGGAAGGAAATAATGTAATTGCCAGTCTCAAACAGGAGCTTCCTACAGATGTGGCAAATTATAAAGAGATTAAATGGAAGAAAATTAAAGGATGGAAATTTTGCCGTTAAAAGTATAATTTCTGGAAGATGAAGGACCCTCTTGCAAGGGTCACAGTCAAATACGATAGTGCTTCACATGCAGCACAGAGCTTAACAAGCTTTGATTTATTTATATGAACAGAAACATTATTTTTTAAAGCAGTGAATATGTAACCTGATAGACTAGTCAGGCAATACACCACTGCTCTTCCATAGTTTATTTTAATAAATAATATTAATCACTGCAGAGCAGATGTAGTAGAGGTGACCCAAGGTTAAAACAAAGGATACAAAATAATGAACTAGAGCAGTAGAAGATAACATGGAGAACTTCTTGATTTATAATTCAGAGAGAGTTTGTTGTGGGTATCTGCATCAACTTCATGCAAGTCTATTTGCCTTTTAATCAGACAGTCTCTGATCATGGTGATCTTTACTTTGCATTAATTTTATCTGCTTTCGGAGGTAATGTAATCGTGATAAGAGCCCATTAGTTTTGCACCATCAAGAAGGACAATGAATTGTGACTTGGCAAAACAAAGATAAAATTAACCATTTGCCTAAATGAAGCTATTCATTGTTGTTTTCTCATAAGGCTTGTTCGGGATATGTTCAGCTCCATGAACAAAATAGCTGAGGATATGCAAGTCTACCTAAAGTAAGACATGTTCTGAGATGAACACTACACTAATTCAGTAACACTGCCCGGTAATTCAATGCTAATTTTCCACAAGCTATTAGATCTGTACAAAGATTCTATTTCACACATATGAGTAAGTGACATAGTGAGAAATAAGCTAGCATTTCAGTTCTTGTGGCTAAGGTTTCTTAAATAAGAAGTGAAATGAGCTGGATGAAAGATGCTTTTTCCAAACAAGTACACCACTACTATCTTTTAAAAAATACTATTGCAAGTCTTTTGCCCAGGAGTAAGAGGAATTGCATGCTGGAGTGAAGCAAACCGAAATCACTAGACAAAAAAGTTTGCAAGCCTATTTTTGTACTATAATAACATTTACCATGAAGAAACCTAACATGCAAGTTGTATAGCTTTACAGAAACATAACTATAGCTGTGATACAAGTTATATTATATATATACACATGTTATTTATATTTCAAGTGGAAGAATTACGCATTTTAGAAGTTATTTTAGGGTAAAATCATATTTATACATGACACTGGCAAAAGAATACAAAAAAATACAGATTTCCCAGTAAGTTATGGGAATGCGTGTCTACTTTTATTTATATGTTTACACACATATATATACACATACAAATACACACACACACAGACACGCACAGAGAAAGTGGAGAAGACAGCTAAAAGGGAGACCTCTAAATTTAATTAAGAGCATTAAAGAGTAACTAATTAAGAATATTAAGGTTTCTCTCCTTGTCAAATTGAGTGAAAATAGTCTGCAATTATAGAAATCACAGTCTTTGGAAAGGAAGGATGGAAAACCACAAAAGAAAAAAGGGGACCCTTCAGTAGATCCAGAGTTTTGGTAGGTAAAATCATAGTGATCTAAGGAAATCTAAGAAAAAAAAAATCAATCTAAAGAAAAAAATAAATCTAAGATCAGTCTAAGAAGAAAGAACTTAATGACAACTAGTGTTTTCTCAGATAAATGATATTAAATAGAAATATAAGCACACACATATTATCCCAAAGCAGAGAAAACACAGTAATGTAGAAGAGACAAACTAGTTTAAATTATGAATTCCACAATAAACTTGAAAATTAGAAGGGAACATATGATGAAAGAAAGGGAAAAAATGGAAACTAGGTTAATTTGTAATTAAAAGAATAAAATAGCACAAATATGCAGAGAGAAAATCAGGGACACAAAATTAGATGCAAAAAAAGACACCAAAGGTAACAAGAAATAATTTTACAACTAATAACAATATGACAACCAAGGAAAATATTATCTGCTACTCAACAAAGACAGAAAGCTATCTAGAGACGGCATTTAGAAGTCAACATGCTTTCAGTCTTTTAATTAGATGTCTTTACGAAAAAGACCAATTGATAGTAAATGCCTAGAAAATTAATAGCAATAACAGAGGAGTAACTTTTCTGCTTTAGAATATGGAAACAACAGTTAAGAGACCACTTAAGTAATTTTACATTTTTTAGATTAGCTTGATCTGATGAACATCATCATCATCAAATACATGAAGACCTAATCAACAGAACTATAAAACTCTTAATAACTGTATTTAGAAATCCGTGAAAGATAGAATACATACTAGCAGACTGGAAAAAAGGTATATGTGATGCCTATGTTTAAAAAGTAACAAAAAGAAGAGCTGATAAACTATAAAGCAGTTAATTTAACTTCAGTCTTCAGTATAATTATGATAAAAGATCAAAGAAGCATTTTGTAAGATCCAGACCTGTAGGAAAAATAAAAAGATTAGCAGACAAGCGACATTTTTACAAACAAATTGTGTCAAACCAATCTGATTTCCTTTACAACAGCCATTGTTGTTATGGGAAAAGCATCTGGTTTCCTAAGTCTTGGTGTAATAAGGTAATCACACTAACATGACCTCATAAGGAAATTAGGAAAACAGGGTCCAGATGAAACTGCTGAAGGCTGGTGCAAACTGGTTGGGTAACATACCTAAAAGTATGTTTGTGGTTCACTGGAAACCACAAAATGGAAGCGCACAACAAAGGTAAGGATGCCCCGTCTCATGTTCTGTTCAATGTTTTCCCCAACCTGGATAATTATTATATCTGGGGAAAACATAGACCTGAAAGGAACCATAAGTTCACTGGAAGACAAGATGAGAACCAAGAATGAGCTTGACAAATTAACAAACTAATCTGAAAATAAGATGAATTTACTATGCTTAGGCAGAAGAGTGCAAGAAAAAAGATGTTTAGGTAAAGGTACTGTAAAAGAAGAGCTAAGAGAGATAAGGGATTAGAAGCAGAGCATGAGTTAGCAATTTCATCCTGTTATGAAAAAGCCAAACATGATCTTGGAATAAATTAATAGAAGTACAGATGGCAAGAAGCATAATATTCCTGTTCTGCTCAGGTAGGTTGATTAAATTACTATCCAAGGCCATATCTATTCCTCTTTATGAATCTACCAGGTGCACTATTATAATATTTGCTCTGTTTCAGCAAAACAACTTCCTCTTAAATGTTTGAGACGTTAATTTGAAGCTGAAATTTTCAGAAAGGCCTGAGTATCTAACTACTACAGAATTCAAAAAGGTTTGAATGGCAATTATTACTGAGAAGTTCCTGGGCTAGAATTCTGCTACTGTTTTGTATATTGAGAATCTAGTGTTGTCATAATTCTAGAAAAATTTGAGTAACTTTTAAAACTGAGTCAAAAAAGTTTAACAACTAATACTTGAATTAGCTCAGATAAGTTTTCTTAATTACCTCTATTTGTGGTAGATTCCTTAGGCCCAATTCAAAGCCCAAATGATCAGCCATGCGTGCCTCTTTGTTATTGATCAGTCGTACCCTCACTTTATGCCACAGAAAATGGCTGTTTCCTTCCATTTCAGCTCCCTCAGGTCCAATCACTTTTCCTTCTGCTTTGAAGAATCTTCCCCTTGAAACAAAAAGTTGAAAGGAGACTTCAGAGATTAGGAGGCTAGGAGAATTCCTATGCGTGAGATATAATTCCCAGGCCAAACATATTAAATATTTGCATATTTGTACTTGCTTTATTATTGAAAAGTCTACCATTTCCATCTAGTAACAGACTACTGCTGTTATTATAACTATCAATAGATCATTGTTGATTACTGCCAAACTAAAATCCAGTGTAACTTTCTCCATAGGTTTTATGCAAGATATTTGAAGCTGTAAATAATACTTAGAAATTCAGCATATATTGTAGCACTGATATCATGAGACTTCCAGAATATACCACTTAAAAAATGTGTTTATCCTCCCACTGGAACGGATAAATACTGAAAAGACTGGCCATTTTTTCTGTATTGTGATTTGGTGTTCTGTAAAAGATACCAGGGAATAACCTGCTTTGTACTCTGTTTAGACATTAGGACATTCACCCATATTCATTCAAGTTCACCTTTTTCTGCAATAGCAGGGATTTGAAATATTAAATATTTAAGAGTTAAGTACTCATTTGAATATGTAATCATTACTTCAGATTTTTACTTTGACTAATTAAGTCACTTTTTGCCTTCACCTGTGCATCAGTCTCTTGGGACTTATGGCACATTGTAGATTGCTAAAATATATATACACACACATTCTGGATATAACCCATATTTTTCTCTTTTGGAAGTCTATTTTTGCTGTTGTGTAAGGATAAGAATAACTACATGTTAGTTAAAATTCTTCATTGCTTAAAGTCTGTGTTTCCCTGATAACTCTTGCTCTCTCAGGGAGGCGTTTCCTTCCCTTTCTCTTCTGTGTTTGTAACATGAGTTTGGAAATGCCCAAGTCCACGTTGATAAAAACAGCTGATGCCTCTCTCTCACATTTTTTGAATAAGTCATGATTTCATGTTTATTACAGAATATTACTGAATAAAATTATTTTTCAAAAGTATTTTTAATTGTTATGTATCAGAAACTTTCACACCTTTAAAATAGTCCTGAACCCAATGAGAGCTGAGGCTTGTAAAGGAAAATACAATCTTGTATGACAGGCATTCAGTACTTGTATTAATGTTAGAAACAGTAGCCAAAAGCCTGGGGAATGAACCCACAAAACTACAATAGGTTCTATTTTGATATAGAATGTTTTCATCTAATGGGCAGATTAGGTCTATTCAAGTTCCTTATTTTTGTAACAGTGAGCAAAGGATTACCTGCAACGGATAGCCTAATGCTAAGAGTAGTGATCTGGACAGAAGATAACTGTTTCATAGTGTAGTGTTTCTACACTGAAGTTTAAATA